TAATCGTCTTTAATTTGTAGGATTGTACTAAAGGTATATACGCGCTTACAACAAGTGATGTGTTCAAATTGTTACACAAAGATTATAAAAGACATGGTCTTCAAGTTTGCTGTAGCTTTTTCGAGATATACGGTGGCAAGGTTAGTGCTACGAAATTCAAGATTATTTTTTTTTTTTAATTATGATTTATAACTAATTTAACATTTTAGAGAATTAAAAACCTTGTTTTTTCGATTCATTCGCTGTTTTCGAAATGTCTTTGATCTTATCGGAAATAAGGCCATGTTAGATATCGTTGCAGGTTTTTGATCTTATCGGAAATAAGGCCATGTTACGGGTTTTAGAAGACGGCAAAAAAGAGGTTCAGGTGATTGGATTGCAAGAAGTCCCGGTTCATGATGAAGATGATGTTGGTATTTCCAATCTTGAATTTAGTATTTTGAGTTGAACTAATGAGCATTTCGTACGCAACATATCGGATGCAGGAGTCACGCACAGACCACTATGTCACATTTATGTCATTAAACTGTGTCATAAATATATCCTATTCTGATAGGTATTCATATTTTCTAAATTGGATTGTTTATGAAAATTATAATGTATCAAACTTTTCTGCATTATGAGATTGCTTTAGGTATTGGAATTGATAAAAAAGGGAACAGTGATACGGACAGCGGGCACAACTTCTGCTAATGCCAACTCATCTCGATCGCACGCTGTGTTTCAAATTATTCTTCGTAAAAAGTAAGTTTCTTGTTTTTGATTTGTCTTCTAGAAGTAAAAAACTTTTCTTCCTGCTAATTTGCTTCTAATTTCGTCGGAATATTCATGTTTTTGATAGCATTACATCGACAGTTATTTGATAGGAGCTGAGATTTTAATTAATATTTTTTTCATGTTCTATCCCATATAACACTGTAATGAAAAAACTTTTTACTGAAGTCGGAAAAATAGAAAAAAGTAAAGATAGAGCAGATCTGAATAGGTAAAAGAAATCTTATGATCAAGTAACGTATATTCGATCTGTCTTTATATTTCTCTATAGTACATAATTTTTATCACATTTATGTTTCAGGACGGAGAAGGGATTAGGTCGTGTGTGGGGGAAATTTTCTTTGATTGATTTAGCAGGCAATGAGCGAGGTGTCGATACGATAAATACGGATAGGCAAACTCGTATGGAAGGCTCGGAAATCAATAAATCTCTTCTAGCTCTCAAAGAATGTATAAGGTAAATAAAAACTTGTGGAATTCCCTTTCCACATTTAAAATCTTAATCAGAATTGCATTGCTTGCCTAAATATGTTATTGATGTCTAAGAACTGAATTTGGCTAACTATTAGAAAGATGATATGACCTACGCAATATATAAAGTAAACCATGAATAGCTGAAGATGAAAGGGTTTGAAATAGCTGTAATGATGTTCGCTAATATTTTATTAATGCTAATGAAAATATGCAGAGGCCGAGCACTACCAATTTTTATTTTTCTGATTCTACTACATGGTTCTAGTTTGTGCTTTTTTGCACTTTTTCTATGCAGAGCAATGGGTCGAAATTCAGCGCATGTTCCATTCCGTGCTTCCAAATTAACACTTGTCCTTCGTGACAGCTTCATTGGTTCAAATGCAAGGACATGCATGGTAAGGCGTTTAGATATTTTTTTACATTCATACAACTTTTTATGAACTGTACTTGGTTTTAGCAAGTTCTTGTATATTTCTGGCAACCTGCTGTAATTACAGATAGCAATGATTAGCCCCGGCATGTCTTGCTGCGAACATACTTTGAACACTTTACGATATGCTGACAGGTATCATTCTTTTTTCAATTTCTTTACCATTACTGAACATTTACTTATATTTTTTTGTTTTTAGAGTGAAAGAATTAGGTGCTGAAGATGGGTCAAATACACCAATGGAAGATGAAGAGCTTATGTTAGGCAATATAGATGAAGATTATGGTATTCTGCAGTCAAGAAATGTATGCGATTCGAATTTGATTAGAAGTTATGACCCCAACACTTTTTGGTTAAGATCATAGTTATTTGTATTTATCATAGTAATATATCGCTTATTTTCTAGTAAATCAAACAAAGAAAATGTAATCAAAGTTATGTGCTATAAAAAAATATATGTGGAAATCAGTCTTATAGGATTTTTTTCACCTTTTCAAGTCTCGTTTGTTTCTGGACCTTCTTTCGAATTACAGTAAAAACCTCGCTGTTATAGTAGATATACATGGCGTGAAGCGATGTTAAAACTAAATCCTACTGAACGGTTGTCAATGTATCAATGTAATAGTAGTGAAACAGAATGTTCCAGTGAAATTAAAAGAAAATAAAATAAATTGTAGAGGTCGAAAAGGTCTTTTTACTTCTAAATGGATAGCAATAAGAAAATCCTCCTTTTTAAAAATTTTCCGGTTTCTTAATCTTTATATTTTAATTATTCATTTTAAATGTAAGCCACTTCTAGTGGGAGTAAGGGAGATATTAAAGCGTATTTCATTTTCTATTTTTCTAAATTATGATTCAAGTTTCGAGATACTGGAAGTTTTCTCTTATATTTTTTTGCTAAGAATTGGATATTTGAGAGAAGCAACCATTAAAAGGGGTGCTTTGAAAAATAAGTAGAAGTGAATCCGCGATTGGATTTGTTAGGTAGCACTCTATTAATATTTATTTTTTTCATGATTATTAAACATAAAAGCTTATGGTATTGTTTTAAAAGTGCTACTTAGAAATAAAAATAATAAAAATAAGTTCGAAATTTCTTTCTTGTCATCAAAGTTTTAGGAACTAAACGATGAAAGATATCGATTGCAACGAACACTGCAAAATATATCCTTAGCGGAAGAAAAGTCTTGTAACGAATTAACTACATTATATGAAGTAAGTGAAGAAGTTCGTTACGTTCAAAGCTGTAAATTGCTAATCTGCATTCGAATCTGATAAAGGCAAAAACTTTGTTTTACTTGTAGCGCTGATATATAACCATTCCAATGCAGCATCTTTTTCAGGATGTAGAAAGAGCAAAAGCAGAGATGGCATCGTTGTTGAAACGACCTAGTAAAGTGGATTATGATATTGATGCTTTTGCTATTGATTTGCAAAATTTTGCCCGTGAGCAGCGTGATAAATATATACGTTTATGTGGTTAGCCATATTTCTTTACAGCTTTGCCTTATTTTTTTTTTTTTTGATCTCTTTATCTCAATAAAAAAGCAGGAATGATCAAAATTTTGAAGTCGACCCATAAAGCGTAATATATTGAATAATGAACAGTGTATTAGATTGAAGTGATGTTAAGTTTTTGACATCGAAATATCATGTTTTGTTTCGAAATATCCATGCTTTGATGGAGAAACCATCATTGTAAAATTTGAAACTTGTTGAAATCAAAGTCATTGAATCTATAATTATTAATTTATCTGACAAAATGTAAAAGACATCGAAATGAATTACACGTCTGAATTTTAGATAATGTCGAGTCTCTAGTATCAGAACTGGGCAGAGAATCTGAAATTAGTAAAAAGCAAACAAATCATAAGCGACATTGAATCAAATCATAAGCGACATTGGATGTAATTCTCGGAATAGTTCAGTTCGCCATATAATTAATTCATCACTTGTTGGTTTCCACTTTCATTTTGGCAGTTAGTGTAATTTGTTAAAATTTAACAGAAATGTCATCAAATTTTCCTGTGCTTTGTTTGTTCATATAAAGATTTCATGTTTCCTGTAAAATTTAAACTGTGATTATTTGTTTATTATTCTGTAGAACTTCTGCTCACAAGTTCATGCATTGCTTTGAATAGCTTCAACTTCAATTTTCTGTAAATTTAAGGAAAATGTTTTAGTGGTTATTGAAAATATCAGATATCAAAATTTCCTAGATTTTTCGGCGTCCGAAAAGTTATTTTCCTGCAGAAGGTTGTATAGATTCTTGACGTATTATCTCAAGGGAGTTTATCTATATACTTTGATCATATCTGGTCATCAAAAGCCTAATTTTAAAGCATATTTCATGGCATGTTTGGACTCACTTTCAAAGATAAATGTTGTTTCTTCCATGAGGTACTTTGGAAGTTATATGTAATTGTAATTATGGGTAGTGAAGTTTTGTATAATGGATTGAGTTGGTGATTTTTCCCACGTTTCGTCGTGAAGATTGTAATATTGCAAAATATCATTGCGTTACTTTCTCCTGCTCCTGCCTCTTTTAGTGAGTAATTATTTTCCACACTTTGCATTCGTGTTTTAATTTCCTGCTTTATTGCTGAGAACAAATGTTTCGTGTTTTATGAGAGAATATTTGGAACCCAATAGTGGAATTTTCGAGTGTTGGTGACGTTGACTGGTATATATAATGCAAAATACTTCTGTATATAATAGTGAAGATTGTAATATTGCGAAATATCAATGCATTACTTTTGGAAGAGCATTTTTCTTTAAGAAGTGGATATCTACTTTTTGGTAGGATTGGGAAGAGGGAGAATCCAGGAACCGTTTTCTCAAAGAGTTCAGTGCTTCTCGTTATGATCGTCATCTCATACCTTTTTCTCATTATTGAATATAAAATGCTTTACATCTGGAATTAAAATGAATTTGAATTTAGCCTTGTTTTCAAAGTGACAACAAATTGCGGAAATTTCCACAAATGCAAATGGTTACTTATGCAAAATGAGATCTTCAATTTGTGGTGGATAATGTCGTGAAGCTATGTAGCATGAGTTGTAAACCATGTAAAAAGGCATGCCGTTCTCCTAGCTCGCATAGCCTGAGGGTTTTTGGAGGAAAGAGCGAATGTTTTAGAATAAATACTGAAGTCAAGAGCATAAATGCGTGGAAGTCATGGTGGAATAGATTTTGCATTCGCGTAGTTTTGAAATGGAGCTTTTGTTTCAGTAGTTTGACTGATTTTGGAACTAATCGACTGAGCGATGTTAATGTATTTTGTGATTTCACAAGATGATATTCACCTAGGCATATTGCTGACATGAGCCATTCGAATAATTCGCTGAAATCACTAGCAGCATCATTAAATGAAATCCATTCTCATCAGCAGAAGCCAGGTATTCCTGTGACATTAAGAAATAACAATCCTGCCGATAAATTGCGTCCAGGTAAGTTCAGTCTTTAAATTCATTCGCTGTTGCATGTAAAATTTGACAGGGGCAATTTTTATTCCACACAGCGTAATGTAAAATTTTAGGAAGACATCGTTGTGATTGTCAAGCTAGAATTCATAAGTTGATTCTGAATTGCATGAGTTGCGGACGTATAGTGTGTGAGCAAGAGGGCAGTGGACCTTGTATGTTCTGTGGTGAGCTTGTCTGTAGTCGAGAAGAACGAGAAGTGAGTTTATTTTGGTAGTCGTCTTTAATAATGATTTTTATTTTGGATGAGATGTTTTTTTACTGGTTACTTTTAAACCTTTCTTCCTCGACTATTTCTTAATAAACATGGGGGCTTTTTCGTATCCTTAAATCAATTTCAGCAGTTTGAAGAACGTTGTCAGAGGTTACTCCTAAAAGTTGTCATTAAAAATTATTTAGTAGTTATTATGTAGAAGACCAAGGTCATTAGGTACTTGTTTCGACTCCTTAAGGACAAGTACTTTTTAAGTTTTTTTGTACCTAATGACCTTAAAAAAATTTAAGAATATGTTGGAATAAATTTTATCTTACTTATTCACTGAAACCATTTCAGCTTTTGAATCAGCAGTCAAGAAAATCAGTTGAACTATACAATAAATTATGGGGATGCAGAGATGATGAAACTATTGGTAGAGGAATATTTTCTCTGGCATCAGTCGGGAGCGCATTAGCAAAAGCCGAGGAATACAAGAATAAATTACTAACAGCAGATTCTAATACGTAGATTCATTCGTACATCTTGATTGTTAAATTGTGATGTCGTAGATAACATAGATAGTGTTGGTCGTTTTTCGGGGGATATACATATTTGTTGAAAAAATAAATTTTATTTGTGAAAAAAAGCTAAGAAATTCTTTGATGCAATTGAGCAGTTTTAGAGAATTGAAAACACGCATTCACGATTTGGAATCGGACTACTATAATACGGAAAATAACGTGTATTTGACAAGAGCGGTTAGTGCTGTTTCTCAATAGGATCACTAAAACTGTTCGGTCTTTAATGTCTTGCATTTCAATAGTGACTCATATTGCGACAAGCTTCATTGTGATGAATAGATCTCTTGAGTGAAAGACATAATGCAAGTCATAAATACGTTTTCTTTAATTTATAAAGCTAATTAAATAACTCTCGGATAGTTTGCTCCGTTCACACTAGTAAGCTATCAATCTTTAATGGGAACAAGAAGTTTTTGCAGGAACGAGAAGCTATAATGGCTCGTAAAGAAGAATTAAAAGAATTAAGAGTAAGACAACGACGAGCTCTTATTTTAGATTTTGATTTGGAAAAAGCTAGTGTTTCTGAAGTAAGCGTTTCAAAACATTTGGAAAAATTTTTAAAAATCATAATTCTACCTGTTATAACTAATATATTATGAACAGGACATTCATTTATCTATTGATTAAGTTTCTCAGCGACTTGAAATTCATTATCAAAGTTTTATACTTTCCTAGAATGGACTATTGTTAGAGTTTTCGTAAGACGTCTAATAGTTGGTTGGCAAAAGGCAAATGGATACGATGGTAAGGCAAAATGTAAAACCGTTTCGTTCAGTTTTGAAATGTTGATTGTCCAGAAGTTGCAGTAGAGAACTGTGCTCTCTCTGTTGAACGATGTAAAATACGCAGTGACTTTTACTCTAATAGTTTCTGAAATTTGCTTTCTTTGTTGTCAAGTAATACTTTTTTGTCAAAAATTTTATGTTAACGGAAGAAATTTGTCGCCTTCCCGCCTTGGCTGTCTCACTGAAAGTTTTGTATTTCTATATTTCTTTATATACTCAACATTGTTATTGGTTGTGGCAGAAGATTTAGTATTTTGAGATACTCATGTAATAATATGAATTAGATTAAAAAAGAATGAACGAATGAAGTAGACTAGTTGCTTACATTCAAAGTATTCCATATATTATGTAAGTCGAATCTGGCGTAAGAGCATTGTAGTTTATTTGAATTACAATAATTCTTTTTTGTTACTAAACATTGCACTCCAAAAACTAATTTCAGACCAAAGAAAAATATGAGGACACACGTGACCCAGTGATCGAGTCAATTTTGTCATCTTCCAGAAGACGGCAACAAACTGAAGCATTAAGGCCTACAGCAAAATGGAGTCTAGATGGATTTACACTAAAGGTTTGCTTTACTTTTTCCTTTTGACAGTAAAAAGAAAAAAGTTTGATAAGGAAACCTTTGTTTTTTCTCCTTTTGTAAATTAATAAGGAATTATAAGGAAAACAAACTGAAATCGATTATTTCAAATAGTGACAGGTTTTTATGATTGAAATTAAAAAAAAATGCTTGTCAGTGTATCTGTGAAAATGGGAACAGTGAGTTAAAAAACCCTTTGATTTCTTCATAATGAAATCTCGTTCCTACTCCCCAACGAAGAGGTTTCCTGCTTCTTTTGATTTTATCTGATTTGATTTAGTACAAATTATCAATGCATGTAATGTATTGGGAAGAAGATGCTTTGCTGTTTGTAATACGACCTACCAATTTTTGTTTCTTTCAGTACAATAGCCAAAAGAAACGACGAAACAATCATGAACAAAATAGCAATGATGAAGGTAACATCGGAAATGAAGCATTTATGATGTTAAGTGATGAAATGATATATATGGAAGTGGCAAGAAAAGGTTATTCGATGGGTATTGTTCAGCCTATTGCAACATTGCTAGCCTATGGATATCGAAGGTTTATCATATCATCGTGTTTGACTTTCATATATTTTTGCAAAGATTTTAGAACGACCCTATATCAGCGAATTTGATATTGTTTTTATAAAGATAGTATGCTGTGCTCTGTTTTATGTTTAAATGCTCTTCCATGAATCCATAATCATGATGGGTATCACATTTAACAGAAGAGCCAGCACTAAACCAATATAAATAAAGTTAAAGAAGGGCTTTATAGGCATCTTCCATGGAATGAAGATGTTGATATTAGAGGACCAATACTTATTGCTGCGAAAGGCAAAGCTGTTTCGAAAAATGAAATTGAAAAGGAAATCTCACATTTTTGGCACTCTCTTCCAAATAGTAATTTATTCAAATAAATTTAAAACAGGTCAATATACAAAATAAAAAAGTAGCTACTGCGTAGTTTTGTAAAAACTTTTTACTAGTTTTTGTGACGGACTTAAGGTAATTTTTGTGGTTTTTGAAAAATTTTCGCATATTTGTGTCATTATCTTTTTTCTTTTTTGGTTTTATCTTTTGATTGTGCGAATAGAAAATATTAAATTTCTAGGTGGCATGGAAAAATATGAACTTCCATTAGAATTCCCTTCGGGTGCGATAGTGGGTCGCGCACTGCTTACTGATTGTTTGTCGATGAACGAGTATGAAGAAAAGGTAATACTGATTGATAATTATTTCAAAATAAAGATATTTTATTATGTAAATTAAGTAACATTTATGCTGGACTGGACGTTTTGTTATTTAGAGTTTTGATAAAAGAAATTGCCAAGATAATATTGATGTCTTAAGACTGTTTGATTTTTCCATAAGAGAAATTGTGACATAAAGCAGCATTAGCACAATATTTGCATAAAATATCGCTGATTTCGATTATAGTTTGCTTGAAGTTCTGGTTATTAGTGGAATGTTCGGCATTTAGCAAGCAAAGATTTTAGGCCACTTTTGTTTTTAGTTTAAAGAGTTCAGACATCTTAATTTCTTCAGTAATGTTTGTATTTCAGTGTAGTGTGACATAAATTATAGAGTAGTGGACAATTTTTTTAACCTACTAAAGGTAAAAAGAGAACTTCGACAGATAAGTTTCAGCTATTAATAAGGAACTAAATAGATCCGTGCAAGTCGATATAAGTATATTTAGTTTTGCTTTTGATGTTACATTTTTCAATAGTTATATTATGTTGCAGTATGCAAACAAGGAATGCTCTACTACTGAAGGATCTTATGTACTGATATTCGATGTCTTTGAACCGTTGCGTGTACCTATTCCTCACATTCCTCTTTCGGATGATATTTATCAAGTTGACAAGCAATTATTGACTGTTTTAAAACAAATTCTCGAACCAGTATCTTTCTCTTGAGTAATTTTGCTGGGTTCAAATTATGGTTATGGATAGCATGCAGGCTCAGAAAGTTATTTATGCTTGTTATTTTATGCTTGTACAGTCAATAAATTCTAGGAGCAGTGTATGTCAAGACACCCTAACATTCCGAATTTCGTCATATTTGCTTTTTTACAGCTGTTAATTACAGTAGGTGTACTTCTATTTCAATATCAATACAGTTTTCCAGTTACGATTCAAGTTATTTTACTTGACGGTCGAAAAGATACGATAATGAATGGATCATCATCAGAAATAAAAAAATATGGGTAATTCGAATGCACCTCAATTGCTATGTGATTTGCTTGGTATTTTTTTTTCTAAGGTAGATGTATGCAACAATATCATTTTGAAACTCGTGCTTGCAGTTACTGCAGAAAATGCGGCGATATTTGTTTGCTGTGATCTACATAATCAAAACCAAATCAGATAATTTAACATAGTTTGGAAAGAATTTATCATTATCTCTTTCTAACGTGATCATTTCAATGAGTTATTTTATTAGCAAAGTATAATTAGGATATGCGTTTTAATTTACATTAGAAACTGTTGTTCATGTGTTTTCTAGGGGCAGAATATTTTCCATGTTTTCATTTCGTGATTTTTATACAAATTTGTTTCCGGTATGTCTGAAAAAAAAAATATATATATAATCCAATCCAAAGTTGGGAGAAATTTCTTAATCTTCGAAGTTAAGACCTCTCCAAGATGATAAGGAAGTGGTCAGATGTGTTAATCATTCAATCTATCTATAAAAATTATTTCTCCTACGGAGAAGATACTTCCCACCAAATGCTCAAATCAAATTTTATCCTCACTACTACAAGTGAAGTAATCGCTATCACTCCGACTGATAAAGTGTATTGAATCTTGAAGCTTTGAAATTATAAATGCACCCCGTGGTTTAATGGAGGGAATTCGAGGAATGATTCCGAAATTCTTCCGGTCCTCTTCCCAAGTCATTGGGAGATCTTCCTCATGATTTTCAATCCTATAGTGGATCTGGGTGTTCAAGCAGACTTGGATTCACTATATGGTTGTAAGTTATGAGAAGGATCTTCTAACGGTTTTCGACTCACGATTTCTTTCAGTTTTTGAACTTCATTCGGCATACCTTCCTTGATGCCGTCATTTCGGTTATTTGTTTAGAATTAGTATGTTAGATTTATCCGTCATCGAAATATTTTCAAAGAAGTGTAATATTTCGATGGTAACACTGTAGAATGCATCGTTATACTTCACAATTACTTCTGGATTTAAGAAATTATTCCAGGATAGTGGTCATTTAGTTATTCCACTTGATGAAAGTTGTGTAAATTTAAGAATATCTGTTGTGTTTGTAGTCTGCCAGTTTGATTGTTGGGTGTTTATCTTTATGAACATTCTGTATGAAAGACAGGAAAGAAGAGATAGCTTTGGCTTATTGAGATAGCAAACACTTTTAATACAGGTTCAAGAGAAGGAAAGTCGAACTATTATTAGTAGTCAATAATGTTACTATACGCGTGAACTAAGTATGTTAATGTTTAAAAGGATAAAGAAGAAAAGTTGATTTTAGACTGCCGTGGTGAAAGGAAAAGAAATGCCTGCTTGGAGCCAATATCTCGAACTTAATGACGCTGAGGTAGGGAATGATGTACCACTAATTTGCTTGGATGGCATGTGTATGTTCAGTATAAATCTTCATGTGGTGGGAAGTTAAGTGAAATCAAAACAGGATTCAGAAGTTCACATAAAATGTTCGTATTTGATTTATTAGCGAACCCTTGAGGATTGTAATGTGTCAAAAGGCATGAAGATCATTTCATTAGAAATACAGTTTATCTATCTCTCTTCGTTTCACTATGTACATTTGCCACATCTACTCGGACACAGTTTGTAGCTTAGATCGAACCTATAGTAGTACTCGTTGGGAATTGAATGTAGAATAAAAAAATTCATAAAAGAACACACATAATTGAATATCGTCAGATGATGCAGATGTTTTGATTGTCAAGTTTATTTTTCAAGTTTTGTCATATTTTAGTTTCTTGCTTTTAATCGTCGTTTTATATAATTTGTGGGGAAAATTGAGATATATCCAAATTTTTTTTCGTCGGACTAACTCAATTATCTTTATAGACAGAGAAAGTTGAGAAACGTGGACGATATATTATTATAAGGACATTGGTCGGTGCAGCAGTTTACCCCTTAACACATGTAAAAATTCTCTTCCAACTTGGTTATGAACCATTTCCTCTAACATCGGGAAAATTTCTGTGGTTTTTCCGCGATGCATATTTTCTTCCTAATGGTTTAAAATATGGTATGCATTTTCATTTTATTCTGTTACTGTTTGTGTTTTGCTATATTTTAAAAAATATAGTGGAAAATTGTGTCAAGTTATGGTAATGTTTACTTACGTGATCTTAGTTGATAGAAAGTCAGTAATGTTTTACGTAGTTTTTTCTTAGGTGTGGGAATCAGCAATATGGATATGGCTGCTCATATTAAGACACTGTTGTTTAATAACTCAATGTTATTTAATTTTAGCCACAAAAATATATGATCGCTTCGGACTATGTAGACTTTATACAGGCATTAATGCTTCCGTACTTTCGCAGTTCACTTCCGGGCTTATTGATCTTGCGACAAGTATTGTTAGTTTTTGTTGTGACATAATAAATCTAATGGACGCCAAAGACCGATCAATTAGAGCGATGATAGCAGGTCTATATAAGAGATAAATGATAAAAGAGAGTTGAGGACACTCTTTTATCAGACTCAGTATTTCTGTGAAATAAAATGATCTTAATGTGCATGTGAAGTTGCATAGGAATTGATCAAGGATAGCTGTCAAACATAGCCAGAATTTTTATTTTAATTGTTACACATACATCATATCGCTATTAAACTGATTGGAAAATTTTCTGGTATAAGAAGAATAATATGAACATTCACTGCAATCAAATAGTTAGCTTTTAAGAGGTCTAAACCCAATCTGCTTGATCATAATCAAATTTGAAAAAGCTGTGAAAAGATTTCGTATGTAGCAACATATTAGTTTTGTCAAATTGAAAATTGAAATAGTTTATCCTGAGACATTCATCATTTTTAGAGTGAACAGTTTCATGCAATTATATTGGTGGATGTAACTTTCGTTTTTACAGTACGTGGATCGTCATTATCCCGAAATTGGTGGAAAACCGATTAACCTAGACAAAGAAGAATCGGAGATGAGTGATGCAGAAAGTATGCGTCGTGTTCTACGTTTCGCCATACGAGAAAGTATTTCTCGTACCGTTGCTGTCATTTTTTCACGCCCGTTCACTGGTGATCATTTTTTTCATAACGGTTTATTTAAAATATTTAGAAATCTCGAAATGTAATTTTTGATCTCGATGAAAACATGTTTCAAAAATTTTAGTGATTATGATCAGGCAGATTGCGCAGATTGTGGGTGGTGAGCTCAAATATCATAATCTGTTATTCTCCTTGCGATTAATTGGTATTGAAGAGGGTCCGAAAGGATTGTTCTCGTTAGTTTTTAATATTTCCTTGATTTAGCGAAAGTTATATTTGAGTTAAGTATTTCAAAATGTTTGTTCAATAAAGATAAGATTAATTTTTGTAACTGAGTTTGTGTTCGCATCATTAATGTGTTTTTTGTAATTGTTCAAGATATTTGTGTCATTTCAGAGGTTTAATCCCTCAACTGATTGCGGAGTATTTATCGATATGGGGTATACATTTTGTACTTTATAGTATTGAACGTATTACGTTGCGTGCTCAGCAAGATGCCATTGTAAGTTTGGTATTATTAAAGATTATACACTGAAGGTATTGTGTTTGACTTTTATTTGCTCGTGATTCATGGCTGAACTTTCAGTAACTTGAGGATGAATTTTCAATTTCCTTTTGAGTTTCCTGGATCATAATACAGAATATTTAATAGACTCATTAAGGTCCACTTTAGCATTTATTCTGTTTACTTTCCATGTCAACAGTTATGCCATGAAAGTCTATCATTGCAGCGTTATAATAAAACGGAAGAAGAGAATTTTATTGTTTCAACACGCAAAATGCTGCATTTGATTGCACCAGTATTTGTGAACAGTTTCACATATCCATTCCAGGTGGTGTCAACAGTGATGGCAGTTGCGGGTTCCGGGTAAAAATTTTTATCGAGTTTTTTCACATTTCAATCAAAGAAAAATAAGTTGGGAAAAGTTGGGAATGCTTTTTCTCAGTAATCTCTGCGTTCAGAATGGGGAATCAACATGCACCGTTTAATCCATGATGTGGTCATCGTACTGATGGTTTCCATCATCTGGCGTTTGTTACTCTGTGTAATAAAATATTTTTTGGCTTGCCGAAGTTTTTTTGTTTGAACGCATCATTTTTCGTGAATTTTTCATTCATTGCAGACTCTTGGTTTCTATGTTGCCTTACAGTCCGCCATTTGCTATATGGCAGGATGCATATGATTATCTCTTGCCAGTTAATGGATTAAAACGAGGTTCGAGAATATTTTGGCGTGAGCATAGTGGAGCTGTTAGTGTGGGTCCTGATCAAGAGCTTTATGCCGCCAATAAACATTTCATGTACGTTATTGTTCTTATTCGTGCCCATTACTTTTATGGGATTTTTGAAAGCAGATTTATGGAAATAGAATTTGTTCTTTTTCATTGTTCTGTTAGAATGGTTAACTAATAAGCTTTATATTAATGTCTATTAAATCCGTAGTAGGGCTTGGAACTGGAAAGAAATATTGCTGTAGACATCAGTAAGGGAAATGTGGCTGGACTTTAATGACTGGATAACGAGTCAGCGATTAATTGGTCAAAGGGAAATATTGATGATGCAATATTTGTAAGTAGTGACCAGTTTATGTCGTTATTTTTAGCTAACGGAAGAGATCGATGGATGCCATAATTTTCAAGAATTTGTGATTTTTATCTTCATGTTTATCTTACAGCATTAATATGCTAGACATATTGTCGGTGAATAATACTAGGGTCTTTTATAAACTGCATTTAAGATGCTGCTGATGATAGATTTTTTTAATGTGCTAGATATATTATCAGTGAATAATGCTAAGTGTCTTTTGATAAACTCATACTCTCACTTTTTTGCCGTAGTTCAGTTTTTGTGATGAAATTTTTATGTAATAGAGATAAAAGCACCACATATGTTTTAACTGTTAATTGAAAATGAGTTGTTTCAATAAAAAATAAATGGTAACGATAGAGTGGTTTGACATTAAAAAAAAAATCTTCCAAGAAGAAGCCAATCACACTTTCGAAGATTCCAGCAGTTATGGTCCATATTCTTGACAAACTTGTGCCGATTCCTTTTTCTAAAGGATGCATTTACACTCATGCTCACTGGTATGTACGTTATAAGGTTTACATTTCACTGCGTAATGAAATATGGTGTAAGGCACTTCGATAAAATTCATGTTAAATGTTGCCATTTTACGCTCCTCATTTCTCGTTTCGTTCTATTTCATAAGTGGGATTAGTTTCATTATTGTTTTTTTCTAATTCGATAAGATTTTTGTGTGATAAGGGTGAAAGTGCCGCATAATCCTGAAAGAGCATGCATTGATTGCATTGCGTATTGGGGCTTGTCATCAGATAATTTGGTCTGTTGTTTTTATCAACTTAAATTTGAATATTTTCTTTGGATTTTTGATTCTGTACAAGATTTTTAAATTTATAACGACTTGTGGTTATGATGATTTAGTTACTACGTCAGACTATTGTGCGGCTGTTTCCTTAGTAACGACGATGTTTTCGGATCGCGGGAATGAAAATCAGAATATTTCGGGAATTATTCGTGCGAAGTCTTGTAAATATATCAATTACTATCAGATATCGATCAGTGTTATTCCTTAGACCCTATTTTTTTCAGTAATTGAAAGATGAGTAGGGAATGAAATGATTAAGAACGACTTTTTGGTTTTTTTGCAAAATTCTCATCCATTTTTAACTAAGACACATGGATATCTGCACACACACATATACTTATCAAGAAGATTTGGAAGAACAATAATCTGAGGAGAATAAGGGAATGTAAAATGATATCAAGTGGTAGCAACGTGAATTCTCTCAAGAGATTTCATAGTTCGAATGGCGGAAAATAAAACTTCTTGTGATAATTTAAAATAGAAAATTCATGGAAATAAAAGTAGCAAAAAAGGAAATTTAAATATTGTGTTACAAAATATCAAAGTATCATTTTAACAAGAATTATTATCAACTCAGATAGAAGTGAGAATTGTTTAACAGCCATATCAATATCAGACACAAATTCATATGAAAGGTTACATGACGACTCGATGTTATCGATGAGTAGTGCTGCTGGTTTGTACTATTTTTTCTGCTCCTCACCAAATGCATGAAACAACTATCATATTTGCTGCCTTTATTTCGATTAGATTTCTAAAAAATTTTTCAATTTAATTCTTTTTAAATTTTGTGTACAATAGGCAGCGAAGAATGTTTTTATTAGGCAATTTTATTAGGCAATCATTTATTATCATATCACAAGAATTTAGGATACTTTGGGAAAATTTCCTTGATTGATATAAAATTTAGGACAATTTAGAGGAATTTAAAAATGAATATCGAAAAGAATGTCATGATATGATAATGAGATTCATATGATAATAACAATTTTTGAACTATAAAAAAATCAGTAAGCAAAAGAATTTCATTCACTCCTATTGACTGAATAAAATTAAATTAGTTACTATTTTGGATGAAATTGTGGAAGAAATTCAGAATTGCTGAAAAGATTTATCTGTACATATAGGTATCACACATGAATCAACCGAGAATAGCATCATCGATAGCTCAACATATTTAACTACCAAATTATCATCTTTCTCGATACAAAGCACACATGAAGAGTTTGATTCAAAACTGTATTATTCTTCAACAGAGGTATATTCATCTCAAAACGATTTAAAATATTGCATATGAAATTAAATTATGCCTTTTAATTTTTAGCACAAGAAATATATGATCAAATGTAGTTATCATATTTCGTGTTATAAAAAAGGCTAAGATTTTTGGCATTAATTAGATCTAACAGAAATAAGAACCATTCTTCTTTTAGAGAATGGATTTAGTACAAAATGATGGTTATGATATTTTTGCAAATAAATTGATAATACGTTTGATTAACAATCTACGAGTCAAACATCTTCGCGAAGGTTCTTTTCTTTTCATTTTTCGTTAAAAATAGCAAAATTTCCACATTTATGTCGCCAATTCATTGATATAAGAACGAAAAAATCATTGGCAAACCATTTTAGGTAGCAATTATAATTCAAATTTGATTTAGTAATTGAAATAATTAAATTAATGAACAAATTTACTTATTGGTATTTCAATTTCTTTTGAATGAAAATGATAAGAAAGTAGTTGCAGATGATGCTCGGGTGATTCTTATGAGACGTGGAGAAACTGTTTCGGAAGTTTTCCCGAATTGGATAATGAACGCCTTTAACAATTCGAATCTCTATGTGTCATAATTTCTAAATCAAAATAATATATTTTTAAAATTTGAATTAAATTTCATTTAATTACGTAAACGATGCTTACCACGGAAAAAGATGAATAACAATATGGAATAAATCCTTCTATCTTCACCTTTCTTACTCAACCTTTATCAATGTTATTGTTATTAAAAACCATTTGTCACCTTCTCAATTTCCAATATTATCAAAAGAAATAATTAAATATAAAAATATCATTTAACATTAAGATCACAGCTACAACTTCTAAAATCCCAACCTATCCATTAATTAATAATGATGAAAAGTAAAGTGAATTACAGGTAAAAGGTACACAAACATGGGTATTTAAAATTAACTCATGAATCGCTAATTTCTACATTCGAATTTAGTAAAAAATGATTTTTCCCTCCATTACCCTTTTTCTCTTCACTGATTTAATGTGATACTTAGTTTTGGAAATCGAGTTGTATTGATAAAATATTTTTTTTCAGGCCATACGATCTTAATATGCCTTATACTTTGCGAAGACGTGAAAGACATAGTGATTTTCTGGTGATTTTTTCTGAAGTCTCCTATTGCTTATTATAAGTAACCCTTTGAAATATATATAACTATAGAAAACAAATGTAACTTAGCTCCTTAAATTAGATAATTGTCGATAGCTGGCAATTACTCTAAACAGTGCCAGTTGATAATCTATTTTAAAGTCCAACAATTTAGCTTAATCCAGAAAAGTTCCATCACTTACAAAATGAATGTTATTGAGCTATTTTGCATTCGAATATAATTTCTAATGAGAACTTTCCTTTTTTTTTCAATTTGGAAATGAACTGAAACTATATTGAAGATCGATCCGCCATTAACGAATATTAGTGCACGTTTCGCAGCTGAACTAGGTTTTACAATGGCTCAAAACTTGCCTACAATGGTTTATTCAGCACCGGAAACAGCAGTGGTACAAACTGCTCAGCATTTTATTAATGGTAGTGAAATTGGCATGAACTGGTTGATCGAGCCAGGACTTGTCAGATACTTCTCATCTAACGAACTCAGACCAAGTAATTGTTAGCTAAGTAAAAAAGTTTATTACAAAATTTGTCATCGTTAATCAAGCGCTTACTTCTCCAGTAAAAAAAGTACAAGATATAATAGACACGATTGCTAAACTGTGACATCGTCAACAGCAACAAGGAATCAAGAGTATACCATACACTCTCAATGATTCTCAAAATTTTTACTTAATCAAAAATCTTTCTCTTTGAATTTGGAAACTGAACTGAAATTATGCTGAGAATCGATCCATTATTAAAGATCGCAGCTGAATTTGGTTTTGCAATAACTCAAAACTTAACAGCAAAAATAAAATCAACAGTGTGGTTGATTCTATTCTACTTTGCAAATATCTTCCTCTAAAAATTTATCTCCACCAATACGATGCAACACAACATATTCGCCCAGAAAACTCCTTTACTGGATGATTTTGTTTGATCTCATGATTTCACAATCTTTTTTTCTGAAGATATGATTAAATGTTGATTTATATTTCTACTGCTCTGAGATTTATTGTTTATTCAAGTATTTGAACTAACCATACCCGAGATTGGTAATGACAAATATTTTATAGTTTTCACAATACGAATTCAACAAGAGACTATATACACTATGGAAGAAATTAATAACATTATTGGAAAAGAAACAATTGATGAATTTGAGGATAGAATTGCAAAGGTTTACATTCCACAATTCTTATCCTTTCACAATTGACCATTTGTGAGAGATTTCATTTTTCAACAATCTTTGAATTTAGGTCGTCTCAAAGCTTAAATTTCCTCGTAAGGCAAGCACTGTTCTGATTGCTGAAGACAACGTCCTCAATGCCATTATACAGAAATTCATCCGTAACGGTAATAAGTTAACCACAAAACAGGTGAGGATAAATTTCATAATTGCTGTATCTGGATAATTTGTCAAAATAAGATTGTGAAAATGAGAAGTCCGCAGGAAAGAAACCATATTCTGGGCATAATCGATATATGGAATGAAACAGCAAAACCTTCTGCACTCTTCCTCCATCATACTTTGATCTAATAATATGGAAATGAGACACAAAAAATTAAAAACCGTATGCTCCCTGGTGAAGAAAATAGACCAAACTTCCGTCTAAAAAAACTTCGATTTAATTCAATCACTATCCAGTAAATTATTACAGCACCTAACAATAACCAAACGAATTCCCCGACTTTCTTTGATGCATTTCGATATTGACAGTGATGGAAGATGGAAGCCAAGTTCTGCATCGTTGCCTGGGTTACAAGGTGCTACCCGCACTATGTTTAATCAACCTGATATCAGCTTTCTGATCAGACCGACTCGTGATTTTTGAAAAAGATCGTTGTTCCAAAATTGCAGCGCTAGAGATGCCAAATCAGAACAATTTGAAGTCAAACTGAATTTTGAAGAAAATCTCTAAATTCAAATTCTCAAAAATTGCAGATTACTCTAAATTACATAAATATTATAACCCATCGGTTAATGGTGGCTAATAATTTCATCCATTTTGATGAATTAAAATTTATTTTCCCAAAACAGTGAAAAAGATGGCCTTTTCCATTACTTTAAGCCTTAAATTCAACTACCAGTGAAATAAATATCCCTCGAATTATCCGACCATCATCGATGGCCAAAACACAACATAGATTTTAACTGTCCCACGTAAAGATCAAATTCTTTCTGATCAAAAAATCATACGATTGAGAGCTGCTGTTCAATATTAACTATGTATTTATTCAGCAATCGGATTCTACGCTTTGCCAAAAAATTTCATAGACCAATAGCGAAAAGTCATTCAGTACAAAAATTAAATCACAGATATTTCTGAATCTCATCGTAAATTGCTAACACCAGTGCGCCACCAGTACCTCGAAAAACATTTGACAGTGCACCTTTAAACATTGCATTGGCACCTTCGTTTTTAATTATTTTCATTGCGCAATCCAATGAATTCTGCAACAATAATACAAAGATTCATTTGCTGCATTATTCCTGCATTTATACTAGAGTATGAAAGAGCTCAACATTTCCAAATACAAAACTCTATTATTAATAAAATTTACCATCTCAGACTATTCATTATTAAATGACAATTTACATCGCTTATTGGATGTCGAAAACTCTCCTAAATGGAATTTTTTGGTGAGAAAAATGAATTTAAAAAAGAAATCTGTTTTACGTTAATAAATAAGAAAGGAAGTATATTATATATGCAAAAGAGGACCGAAGGATCACAAACAAATGAAAAGATTACATGACGACAACATGTTTTTCCAGATATTTACAACGGTATAAAAATATGCCTACGCAAAGAATAAAAATACAACATACCTTGTAAAGGATATCTTTACGTCCAGACTGCATCATCATTCGACGGCGCACAGTGTCCCACGGATATGATAATATACCGGAGCTTACCGTGACTACTTGAGCAATCATCCAAGCGAGGAAGAAGTTCAGTTTCTTTTCAGCAGCTACCAATGTCTTTACAGTATCGAACATGCCAAAGTAAGCCGCACGGTAAATAATAATTCCTTGTACTGATACCAGAAAGCCCCTGAAACCTAACAATGAAATAATATTGTCAAGAATTATTTATGAACATAGTATTTTTGCTATTTTTTCCATAAAAAATTTCTACTAGTCGGTTATAAAACATCTAAGAGATACATTTTTGCTTGAATAACAAATGGAATGCAATAAATGGAAATCTGCCAAGTTATTCCTTAACTTCTACCTCTCTCTTTTCCGCCAAGTATCTTTATCAGATATTATACACTGCTGTCGTACAACAGAGATCACAGTGCACTGGAAGGTAGACTTAACTCCAACAGTTCAAACTCTGTAGCTTTCTAATGAATAACGGATATCAGAAAATGGTTGAATCCCCTCTATCACATCGACAAATTTATCACTTAATTGTACAAGACATAGAATAAATCAACAAAAGTTTATAGAAAGCACAAAAAAGCATAAAAATCTAACCAAAGGTTAAGAAACGAAAGAAGCAATATTGTTCCATGAACTTGAAACTTGGAACGTTTATACAATGAAAACACACCTATATAGTCCAACTATACCATCGGATTTTGCAACCTTCACAATACAATCCGTTAATCCCTTGAATTCTCGGCTGTCACCTTTACCGATATCAGCAGCAAGTCGTGTTCTAGCGAAGTCTAGCGGGTATACAACACACATCGATGCGGCACCAGCAGCACCACCTGCTGCAAGATTGCCGGCAAAAAATTTCCAGAATTGTTTTTCCTTGTCTAACCTGAAAATGTAAGTACATTCCTCCGTTAATGACATATAATACAAATGACAATATTGCATGAAAGGTGAGAGATGAGATATAGTAGTTTGTATATGAAAATAAATTCAGCTAAAGCAAAAAAAGGCGATAGTAGCTCGATATTATCATTTTTAGTGAGTCCCGATATTAAAAATATTAAAAATAGGATTTACCCTTCCATGAACATCTTTTTGAATGTATCCTTGAAGGCGAAGTTAAGAGCTTGTGTGGGAAAGTACCGGATTACATTAGCCAAGTTACCTCGCCATAAAGCAGTTAAGCCCTGTTCTCGAGGAACTCGAATCAATACATCAATTATACCCTTGTAACGTTTCTCAACAGCGATTGTTTTTTGTGCATCTTGAACCTGAAACAAATTATTAATATAGCAGCACATAGAGTAACAACTGTAATGGATTATATTTAACTCAGATTAACAATTAACTTTTCAAGTCCAAATTAGAAATAAGATGAAAAATACTGCAACTCGCACCTGTAAGAGAATTTTCACTCTTTCAATGGGTGCAACTGCAGTTTTTGATATTGCAGCGGCAGTGCCACCTGTCGCCAAGTCAACAAAAAACTTCTTCGGATCAAAGCCTTTAGTATCCTGCTTTTTGGGTTTATCCACATGTTTGTCTGAAATAAAAAAATCATGTCGGGTAATCCTACTCAGTGTGTTCATAAACACTGACCGAATGCATGAATTTTCCAAATTCAATGAAAAATACAAGAGAGAATTTAATATAAAGAATAACGCGTATTATTTATGACTTCTGCGTAATCTAACGTAGTATCTTGAATGTTAGAATGGCACCACTTGAAAGTTTTCGAAACATGCAACGGCTTTGTCGGAAGTTTTAAATAACCCAAGATATTGCCAAGATTAGTTGATTAGAATCACAGATCTACTATAGGTAAAATAGAATATTCAACAGCGCAATTTTTTGCTAGAAGACTGTTGTGAGGGATGTTACATCATCATCAAAATCGAATAAACGACCATAATTTTGCAAAGAATAAAACGATAATGCAGAAATTAAATCAAACTAATACAGATATCATTATTACTGAGATTTTATTAAACAATAGACCCGGGCAAACTTAAAAAGCATACATCTTTGTAATTTGAGGAGCCTTAATAAAAGAACTCCATATTCCTCCTTTTAATATAAAACAGTCAAAGCAAGCTTACTATTCAAAGAATTTAGATTTTTCATTTCCATCACAAAAATTTTCATTAATTAGATATCTGCTACGCAAAATCCTGATATAAATTGGTCCCTTAAATATAAAACCTATTCCACGTATTCTCACAGACTGTTTGACTCAAGGTACCGACAAATATTATTACTTTCAAAATATGATGTTATGATGTTATACTTTTGGCATCAATGGTGAAACACGTTAAAGAAGTAATCGTGAAAGCATGAGCTTCGGTGGTATAGCATGCTCCTAAATTCCCGATCAAATATCAGTAAACATTTCCAACATTATAAGTGAATTTCTCCGATCTACCCCGATTATCAATAAAAAAGTGGAAAGTAGCGCAACTATTAAGCAACACAATAAATTTGAACTGCATTTTATGTCAAATGAAGTTAAGTCAGATAAATGTCCGATTTGATAAAAAGGTTGATAGAACTAATTTTTAAAGAAAAACTTTAACCAATGCGCATTCTTAAATTGAGCAGACAGCAAAACCCTTACAGTTTAAGTTTATTGATTTAACAAATTACCGAAAGCATAATTAACAATTTCTCTATCTTACGAATGAAAATATCCTATGTGAATTTTATTTCATGAATTTGATTTCGCATGTAAATTCATGAATTGGAATTAATTCTTTAGTGAAGTTTCAATTTCTGATAAAACTATGAAGAAAACATTTTGCAATATAAATTAGAATGATAAAATTCAAAATTAGAGAAAATCATCACCTTCTGCCATTTCTGCCTTACAAAAATACTTGGAAATCTTTGTGATTTGCTTATACCTGAAATTAATGAAACTAACATAAATAACAGAAAACATTCGTTAATGACATTAACGCATTGATAACGTCACACAATAAAATTTCATATATAATTAGTAATACAATCTATTATTTGCATAAAGAGACTGCCCTTCAAGAGTTGACCATCACCAAAAGTTTTAGCGTAGTATAATGGGAGTTGAGGTAAATTTTAAACTGTTAATAATCTCGAATATAATAAAGCGATTTCGAATACTGTAACAGATGCAAATTTTTACATAAAATCAAATAAAGGAAGCCATAATAACAATGAAGGAAAGAATGGATAATAGCAATGTCTAATAGAGTTCACAATTTTAAATATTTACTATTTGTTACTTCATCTAAATGAAAAACAGCCATAGTATATCTGTGATTCTATAAAAATAGTTCAATGGTCATATTTGCTAACTAAGGAATTGCAATTGCATTTCATTGTACTAAGGATAAATGCTAATATTCTTCTTCTTTAGCTAATTTTGAAATGAAATCTGGAAGACAAAAAGTTTACTATTGAGAAAGTATCAAGTTTTGTTGAGGAAGATTCTTGTTGTGAGTGTCTCAAATATATTGGAAACAGGGAAACGTGATCCTATCAAAACCACACCATCACCAAACAGTGGTATGTGTAGCATTTTGATAATTAAGATGGACACCAGCAAGTTCATCTCTCAGCAATACCTCATTGTATTAAGGATAAATGCTAATATTCTTTATATTAAATAGGTAAAGAGAATTTTTTAATTCATTTTAACTTTCATACATTACACTCACCTAAGGATTATTAACTCAGTTTATACCTTTTTCCTTCTATTAGTTCAATTAATATAACGTTTTCTGATTGGAGATTAGAAAGAGAACATAATTCAGTGTGATGGTCCGCTTATGTTACCTGCTCATTCAGTACAACAAAACTCCTCCTAAGTTTAACATCTCAAAAAATTTACAGTAAGTTTAGCACGTCGGAAAGTTCACGAATTAGTTGAAAAGCAAATTTCTGGATAAATTATTTAAGACATAGAAAAAATTATTATCAAAAAATTATTGAATCCGGAATGAAATGATACCGATATCTCCTTCTTCTCACACTCATCCACACATACACACACATAAGAGAACACACATTATGATTTAATACCGAACGCTTTTTCCCCGAATGGTGAACTCTCTGTCAATGCGGGAGAAAAGCTGGTGGAGAGCACAGAGACAGACAAAAAGCATACATGCACGTCTAGAGAGGGCAGAAATCGGACATAGTTGCACTTTTCTTATCCGTTCCTTTTGCAGTACACTGGGTATAAAGTGCACTTCTCGTGTAGATCGGTGCATTTATGTGAATGTAGGAGTGTAATTTGCATGCAGAGAGATATTATATGGTGCACGCGAAAAGGTAATTACTTTGCATGCAACATGTACTGGTTGGTAATGAAGTTGCGAGGTAAGTGAGAATGGTGTATTGTGAGGGGTAGTTGTGCTATAAGCATTACATATTAGTATAAAAAAAGAAATCACTGTTGTAATAGCTTTTTTTACAAAGCAACATGTTAGCATACGTTAACTACACGTGAACATACGGACAAAGATGGGGAGAGGGAATCGTATAGCGTTGTGTAAGGTGTAACTTATAATAAAATTAAAGTATCAAGGGATATATATCTTTAAGTATTAATACAAATGTGAGCCGATAATCGATTGTGTTACAGAGATTTGTAATCTGAAGTTAGTCATTTTAGGAAAACTCAAAAGATACGTATGGACACATGAAATGAGTCGTAGTATCTCCAAGTTTAAACAGTGGTTTCACCACTCTTTGAACATTTTCAGCGTCTAACTCTGTACTTTTTAGCAATTTCAACAGTGAAACATATTGTTAGCTTCCTCCAGAAATTTTCGGCTTCAATTTGCACTTTCAATGACAGTTGTTTATTTAAAAATGAATTCCAATGGTCTCATTAATAGGTCGAGAAGTAGAACGATATAGGGAGAGGGCACACGAATAGAGAAGATCAGTATCGTACTCTGAATTTGATGGGCTACAACTTTTTCTATCGTCGATTCGACGAGCATCGAATAACATTAATAATTAATTCTTTGACGGCAGAGGAATGAAGATGTGAGGATAACTTCGAAAATAACCTAAAAAGAATCCAGCAATTTTGGGAAGCGCTTTCTTCATATTTCATATTTTATCTAGTTCAAATCACGTAACCTAACAGTTCGTAAAATATTATTCAACTGACAAGAAAGTAAAGAGGAAATAGTGAAGAAAGATAAATAGCAGATGAGGAGCAAAAAGCAAACGCATATAACCAAAAACATCTACATCTTCCTTGGTTCGCTGTATGTTTCGAAATCAAATTTTTTGGTTTTCGCTGTTGGGACTTTCAATTATGATAAAAGCAAAAGCATCAAGTAACTCCTCTCCAATAATCTACTATTTTCCCAATTTAGATGATAGCACCTTTTTGAACCTTCTGCCAAATATAAAACATTATATTTGTAACTTAATCGGAAATATGATACTGAATCAAGTGAAAAGAATATCATTTAAAATCTGGGTTAATAAATTGACTTGCATAAAAAAAGAAAAATAAGTCATGCAAAACTGTCACCGACTTTCTTCCGCTCTTCTTAAAAAAATGAACTATTTGTAAATAAAATTTAAGACTCTCAAATATATAACAGAATATAAATCTCACATTCATTCTAAAAATTGTTCGTAATCAATTGATATATCAAAAGATTGAATTTGATATCAATGAAAATTTCTGTAGTTATCAGAATATCTGTTATTCTGAATAATAGAAAAGTAGGAGACATTTTCATCGTGAGTACTGCTGGCCCTTCAACAATTTCTGCAAGTGCGAATATGATGTTCTGATAATTTCAGAATATTTCAATGATAATTTTATCTCAAATTTCGTTTCGCTTTTATAAAACTATAAGAAGCTAATAGTGAATTGATCGCCCCTTCATATTTCGCAAGACTATGAGCTGGTCACTGTAGAATTGTACGAGGAGAGGATCTCTCAATGTGCTTCTCTTTCCCTTGCCTGTTTATTCATAGATCATTGGCAGTTCAGGTCATCCAACATTCTGTTGCTCAGACTTAACTTATTTGATAATTCAACGTCTGTTTTCATCTTACTATTCTTATGTGAAATGCGGATTTTAGTAGGATGAGTTGATTCAGAAATGTCGAGTGAGTCATCCCACTCTCCAGTCTTGCGCAATGCAGATGAAGAGCAAAATGAAGTTTCTTAGCTCGCCCGGAAGAGTTGCACAAAAGTATTAAATATTCAATGATTTTCGCGATTTGCTACATTTTCCAGAGATGTCGCTGTGATACGGTGACTTGCTTGAATTACTACGATCATTATGAAAATGAATGGGGTCGCCAAAATTAGTTATTAAATTTCGCTCGGCTCTCCATCGGACAAGCTATGAAGATCAGGAGGGCAGATCAAAAGAGACAGATAGGTAAGGAATGGGATGAGTATAGGTAATCATTCAGGGAAAAGAGTTTGGAGCCGATTACAGCTTCAAGCTTTGAGGCTTTAAGTTTTTAGTAGTACCATAAATCAAAAACTTGTGAATGATCACCTTGATTTCTGTAAAGAAATTTACACTTTTCGAATAATTTTCTCTGTATCTTTCTGTACATTCTAGATCTTTATGTTTTTCATTTTATTTGTATCGGTACTACTTTTTTCTGTTCCAGTTGATGAACAAAGTGGCTTCGATTATAATACGTCTGGAAATACAAACTGGTGCACCGTTTATTCAGTTCGAGTCTGCCGGTTTTAACGGTATTATTTCTTTATCTGAAATTTGTATCATATTTTATGGAAGATGGCTGTAATAATTTTGAAATAGTTTTCGTGAAGGAATTTCTACTATGGAGAAATTTTAGAAGTGAAAAGTGAGGCACGACCTGAAAAGAAATTAATGGCTGAAAGGAAGAAACACAAAAAAGTGGATGGGCGATCAAAAATTGAAGGAGACGCGTCGTTACTACCAACTTCCATGAATAAGGTTACATTGTTTCTTGGAATTTATTAAATCAGACCGAAAATATTTCATTGCTGGTATATATTGCAGAACTTTTCTCTGTGATTGTATGTGTGAATACATTTGAAACGTATAATGTTGTGGTGTCATTCAGGTTGAGCGAGCATCGGTGCAAGCACAATGCTTAGGCAATCGGGAATACACTGAAGTAATTGTGCAAACTTTCTCTAAGGATCAAACAGCATTGAATAAACAGAAACCCCTCACTCCCGATGGTCAAGAGAACCCTTCATCCATACAAACAATTGCTTCCGGTTCTTCTCCTTCTTTAAAAGCGACTAGTGAAGGATCGGGTTAGTGCTAGATGATTAATTTCTCTGAGTGTTATTAATTTATAACTTTCCTCATTTTTTCCTAATCGACTCTGCTTGGAAGATTATGGTTCAGATCCAATCGGATGTGCTAAACCTCGAGGGCCAGGGATGATTCTTTCATTATCACAAACGCTAGGTAACATCCCCAATCAGAAGGGTACATTAAAAGAGTGAGAACCACGACTTTCTTGAATATGACATGTAGTTTTCCAGATGTATGCAATATCTCATTCTTCTCCGGAAATCCATTTGTCGAAAAAACATCGGGGATTCTTCATTTTTACAAAAAAAAGTACGTTTCTTCTGTTCGAAATTCAAAATTTTAACAGTTATCGCGTCGATTTTTTTTTTGATTTTCCAAATATGGAGCAGTTGCGTTGTTAAGTGAATAAAATAACACAGCAATCACCTTCAGAGAAACGAACTTAACAGCTGCAAGAGGTGATTGTTCAGTACTTTGCATGTTAGGAGTTCCATCGTTACTTTCATGTCGCGAGTTGCTAAGATTTATTGCTCCAAGTTCACAGTATATTACTGCAATGAAAGTGATACGTGATTCAACACCAAATCAGTATATGGTTATCATTAACTTCCGCTCTCATGTAAGCACCAAATTTCAATAATTTTCCCTTTAACATGTGCAAATAAAGATTAAGCCAAACATTTTAACTATATCTATTTCCCTTTTAGGATACTATTATGATCTTGAACTTCTTCATTCAAAAGAGTAAGGTGAAAATGAAGATACTTTTATACCTATTTGTTTTAGGATGCTGCTGTTCGTTTTTATGATGAGTACAACGGTATGACGTATAATGCAATTGAACCAGAAGTGTGTTCCCTTGTCTTCGTTGAAAAGATCGAATCGGTATGTTTTCTTAGTCCATATTTGCTCTTGTAAGTAGTATATATTTATTATACGACTGTCTTGCTTCTTGGATATTTTCCTTTAGTGTTCGATTATCTTTACTGTTACAAGATTCATATTGTTGTAGTAAAGTTCATTTTGAGAGTTATAGCCATAATGGCATAAGAAAAGGGACGGTGGAGGAAGGAGAGGAGAAGGAATTTCTTTCATTTCCAAATCTTGGATTTCTCAAGAGTTTGATCTTTCAAGGTTCGTGAAGAAGCTGGTGGTAGTCTGCCTGTTGAAAACATAACAGAACTACCAACATGTGCGGTTTGTCTGGAGCGTATGGATGATGGTGTGCTGACTATTCTATGTAATCATACTTTTCATGCTGAATGTTTAGAACAGTGGACAGATACGACGTAAGATAATTTATTTAAATACTCTTACTTTAAGTTTTCTAATTTTCCGTCTATTCATTAATGATACTTTTTAAAGTTGCTTTCTGCTAATACTTTCAGATGTCCAGTATGTCGGCATAGTCAAACTCCTGAATTGGTGGCAGATCAGAAGTGCTCTGTCTGCGGAAGAACTACAGATTTGTGGATATGCTTAGTTTGCGGAAATATTGGTTGCGGTCGATATGTAGAAGGTCATGCTTATAGGTTAGCATCTTAACTAGAAGGCTATGTTATTGATGAGCTGCCTGAAGATTAATCTTAATTTTACGTTACAAAATGGCGATTATTTCACTCAAAGGTATCACTTATATTATTTGGCAAAGGCCGTAGTTTATACCTTCCTTTGATCATTTCATTTTGCATATGTTTAAAGAATGAGTACTTCTGTAACTTTAAATTCCAATCTCATTTAACGAATGAGTGATGAATAGAGACAGATATCACTTCACCATTCGTTACAGACATTTTGAAACAACTTCACATACATTCACTTTGGAAATTGGTGGTGAGCGTGTATGGGATTACGCGGGTGACAATTATGTGCATCGCTTGATACAGAGCTCACCTGACGGTAAAATGGTCGAATACAGGAGAGGCGGTGTTAGTGATAGTGATGTATGTTCATTCTAACTAATCAGTTCAGGAAAATCATTTTATTGTTAACGAACATCTTGATGTAAAAACTACCCTTTCTTGTGCAGATCTTAAAATCGATAAACGCTATACTTTTCCAGGAAAATCCAGGCGAAAAGTTAGAGTCAATTCAGTTGGAGTATACTTGCTTGCTTACGAGTCAACTGGAATATCAAAGAATATTTTACGAGACCAAAATGAATGAACAAGAACGACTATTTAGCACGTTAGAGAAGCATAACCAGGCTCAGGTTTTGTACTATATGGAATAAAGTTTGCAGGATTTAAGAAAGAAAGTCAATTAATGACTCATCAGCAGTGCTTACTATCGCTTGATAATGGGTGAAATAAAATTCCTCAACTTCGTTTCACGCATCATTACATTGAGATAAAGCTATCTTCTTTTTTTCCTCTTATTTTAAAGACAGGCTACCTACTCAGGAAGTTTTAAGGAGAAAACCTTTCTAAATCTAGTTTAATTTGAAAAACAGATTAGTTTACAGGTTGACAATCTTGAAAGAGAAGTCGATGAAATACGACAGGAATGCGATGAATTGAAAAAATCGTTAGCTTCCTGCACACAACAACGACGCACTATTGAAAAAAAGCAACAAAATACTCAAAATAAATTGAACAAAGTAACATTTCCTTTCAAAAGTCTATGTAGTAGTAAAATTATTATAAGGCTTACTCGCAACGTTTTATCTTGTACTGAATTCTTCAAATTCTAAATCGTTGAAATTATTTGAATAATCGCAAAAAATGTCGAATAACAATCTGCTGGTCTTTAAAATGTTCAAATTGTGAAATTTTTTTATAGACACTGGCAGAATTGGAGGAGGAACGTGCTTTAAACAAGTTATTACGATCCGATCAGGAAAAGTGGTCTACAAAATTGGCAGAAATGGAAGCGAAAAATACCAGTTTACATGAAAAATACGTTGCAGTAAGTATCATTTCTAGTTGTTAAGGTAGAAAAGTTTTAATTTGCTATACCTTTTTTAGACGGTGAATGATCTCAGTGAACAAATTCGTGACTTAATGATGCACTTCGATGCTGAAGCTAAAATACAGAACGCAGTTGAAACGAATGAAATTACTGAAAAGGTTATTCTTTCACATATAATTCTCATGAATCATAACTGAATGAAGCAATAAAATAGAGAGAGCAAGTGCTTCTGTGGTGACACCGCATCAGTAACTACTAGTTTTCACAACTCGGAATAATTTCGTTAGTTCGCTACTGTCTCAGAAATTGCTAGAGACGCTGAATTTTTATCTCAACTTTTCAGGAGGTTAATGAAAGTAGCGTAGTTGTGGCAGATCCTCCCCAGCATATTCCAGTAAGAAACCGCAGGCGTAAGAAGAAATAATTTCGACGTGTTATTGAAATGTAATAGAAAAGTATTATTGTTTTCGCTTATCTCACTGAACTTGGCTATGGGTTTTCATATAGTCGCTTTGCAGATTTGAATATCATTTTAAAAATTTTTTTAACAAAAAACTGCTGATTCTTGTTTTTTTGTGACGCCATAAATTATCTCATACTTTATGTTTAATATCATAGCATCGTCTTTCCATTCTGCTGTTGAATTCTTCGTTGAACTTTTTTTTGTTTGTTTTACGTAAGACAAAAATCATAATTTGAAATCATGTGTATCTCACTGTTTAGAAAACATATATATTACCTTTTGAGACTATGTACATACTGTCAATAAATATTTTATCAAAACTGTGAATAATTCATTGATCACAGAATTCATGGAGCACATGTATAGCCTGCTGATGTCACAAAACCCAAATTTCATCCCTATGTCTTATTAAGCGCTAATATATCTTTATTTTCAGTTTTACCATTTCCATAAGATATCATTTTCTATTTTTGCTGTCGGTATTTTTTTCCTCGATATAGCGACGTAATTTTAGCAGTAAACAGACGGAGGAGAAGGTTTGCAAAACTTGTAGCACAACTATTTGAAGGCGTTCTGACCTTCGAATGATGATTTTTCACGATGGCATCAAAATATCTGTTCTGTAAAGAATTAAATTGAGAAAAAAAGAAAATAAATGAGAAGTGTCGAGGATTCACTGCAATCTGGGTCAACACCATTATCAGCTCGATAGCGAACGGCTGTACAGTTATCTAACGATAGTCCTGGAGTGGAATAAGATGTTGATCATCCCTAAAAATTGTTGCCATTTTCTTAACATCATTTTAATTCCCTCAAACATTTATGACATATTGAATATCTTCCCGAAAAAGGTTCCAGTGTTATCTCTAAATTGTTTTGTCTAGTTGTTTATGTTCTCAGCAATAAAAGTTATAAACAAAGTGCAGAGCAGACTTCCTATTATTCTAGGCATCACAACTTTTGAAATTAAAGATTCCCGTAGGATCTATATTTTGTGTCCTTATCAACTTCAGAAATCATTCCTAAATTTTGAAATAATCCATGCTATCTGTAATGACAACAATGTAATGGAAGAAAAACAACATTTGCTGTTGTAATATTGTTTTTTTTTGCATGAATGTAACAATTTTAACGGAAAAATTTAAACGTCCAAAAGGAAGTTTATTTTATGGTTGTGAACTATTTCATATTACTGAGAAATATGTATTTTCTGAGAAAAAAAATTGTGTCATTGGAGGTTTTTTAAGAATCCTCTTCAGATTGTTTGCTGATCTACTCGTAATATCATTGTGGTAGTGGTAAGAGCTCATATTTGTCCGATGTGTAAGGAATAGAACAGGATCCGAATAGATCTTCATCATTAAAGCCTCTCTTTTAAGCTATTTGATTTAAAAACTTTTCAATTCTTTTCAAGAAACTTTTCAAATAACTGCAATAAATCCTAACTTCATCTTAATGATGATTTAAAAAAATAAGCTATAAATTTCTGATGTTCTTTTTTTTCCTCTTGAAAGCTTTGCTCTTACAAATTGATCTTTAAAAGTTCTCAGCTTTTAGCAAAAGTTCGATAAAAATAACATCTTGCTTTAGCAAACTTTAACACATTGTTTGTCAAATGCACCAAATTTTAATTCATAAGCAAATTCTACTCGATATTACTGTAACCATATCAGTGATAAGAATAAATGGATGACTAAGAAGTTCACGGTAAACATTAACGGGTATCCTCAATGTTCTTCATAACATGTAGTGAATCATTTTAGAATTGAAAAATGGATTGTAATTATAGAACCTTAACAGTTATGAATCATAAAAGACACATAAACAAAACAATTGGCTGACTAAGCATTATTATTCGATACTATGACATCATCTGATAATTTAGCTTGATAACCCTTTTTTCGCCTAAATTCATTTTTTTTCAATCATTTCATATCAGTAATATGCAATATCTCCTACAGTAATACTTTTACTGAATGTCACTTTTACCTACAACAATTATTTTATGAAAAAATCAAATGACATATTGGTAATATGATACAATCCAATTATCATTTCCAGCTTCAAATAACCAGTTAACTCTCTTCAATAATATTATATAACCATCGTTAGTATTTGAATATCTCTCATTGATCTAAAATTCTCCACAAATAATTCTTCTCTCAAATTTTTGCGCAAACGTATGTTAATAATTTTATGATTGCAACTCAAAATCTATTCAATTCATTAAATATTTCAAATATTGAAAACTCTAACTGTTAAATTTTCTTTAAATATAATGCATTTTTTTTTGCTTAATTAAACTTTTCAGCTTTATTAAAATTTTCCGATCAAATTTCTCTGTAATGATTCATTATAATTTTAAAGTTATCTTTTCTGATAAATGGGTCAGTGTTCTCAATAATACCCGCACCTAACACCTGCATCATTTCTTCATTCATTCCTTCCACTCTGAATTGGTAATGATAATTTGTTCAATAATTGATAATGCTGCTTGCTTTTGAATCCACACTTATTTTAAACCAATTTTTTTCAAACAATATCATTGGCTTTTTCTTTTTTTTTAAATTTTCACAACTCTATGAATCATCAATTCTTCTATAAAATTTGATTTAAATCAGCAAAATGATCAAACGATTTCATAGAAAGAAAAACAAATAGAAGAAGGATTTAGTTGATAAATGAATTTCACCCTCATACTAATTTTATAAAAGCCAAGTTCAAATGATAATCTTTGATGAAATCTATCGATATATCTAACATTCAATACATCTGATATCTTCTATCGCTATCTTTCGAAAATCAATAGAATCTGACATCATTCCCTTCTTTGACATCGTTAGAAGTTATCATGGTCGATTGTATTCTTATCCTCAACTCTTTTAATCAAAGTTTGTTTTGTGGCAATTCATATTTAGCCATGTAATGTTTAGTATGAAATGACATGATGATTCTTCGGATGATACTAGATACTCTTGAAGTCTTGATAGTTCCGGTGATATTCATCCAACAAGACTACCCTCAAAAAAAAAAGACGAAGGGAATTGATGTAAAGTAGGTGTCAGTATTATTTTATTTCATTTCGTAAACAAAGAATGGGAGAAATTATCTGGAAGAAGGGAATGACTATGTTTTGAGAGTTAAAATGTAGAAGGATAGAAAAGATAAGTAATGAATGTAGTATGATTGAAATGTTGGATGATGATTCATGCTAATTCACTTAACTTCATAAAATAAGCAAATGAAATAGTTGTTAAACTTATTCATTCTTAATGAGTCATAAATCAAACTATGTTCGAATGTAATTGTTAACGATTTTTTTGCTAATTAATAAAAGTGGAATAAGTCTTTCGAGAAAGAAAATATTGACTCTCAAAAAATTTAAGCCTATGTGTTATTTTGAAAAGTCCCAAGAGGGCGGAGAATTTACAGAGAAGTAACAGTTAATAATTTGTTTACTCAACCAAAGGATCTGTTGCCTATTACATCTATTCGTGGATAAATAGATCAATGTTGTTTGTTGCTTTCTCATCTTCGATGATGATGGTGAGTCAGTCGATTTGTTTGTGTTAAAGGTAAAAGCTATCATCATATCCATTTGAGAGAATCTCTACGATATTTATCTCTCTCAACTTTTTATCGCATTTGCTTCATCTTGAAGCATTTGCGAAATGAAATATATTGAGGTTCATTTATTTCAATAGATATTTTTCATCATTTAAAACATCACATGATTGTTTTAATTTGAAGAAGTGTTGCTCAAGCTGCTGTTGATATCATCATCATCTCATTGTGATTTCGCAATAAAATCTTCATTTCAAAATTTTGAATTTTAAATTGATTTATGAAATGTAATGTTGTAAGTGATGAAAAGTATTGCGAAATCTTTGCCATCAACAATTGCTGCAAAACCTTTCATTTCTGTTTTAGTTCACTGATGATTTATCAAGTTTTGTTTATTAGCTAATACGTTTGTTAGAGTTCTCAAATCTCATGAAACATTTTTGTTATATTGATAATATGATAGGTTGTTCACTGTCATTATATTCAATGTTAGAGCACTACTCCCATCATTTATAATATTTTACTAAATTAAGTAGCGTTTTTATGAGAAGATTATAATGTTTTCTTGTTTTTGCTTCACTACGGTATTATTACAATTATTTCCACCTATAAATTACCGAAACAATGCTCTATCAGATACATATATCATTTCGTAATATTTCAGAAAGGGTAACTTTCATCTATAATATGTATTTCACTTCACGCAAGTATAACCGTAACTGAAATTAAATAAATGATAGAAAATTGCTTTTGTTGTAGGTGAAGGATTTTTTTAAAACAAATTAAAGACTCCAGCAATATTCGTTTTTGTGTTGGTTATGTATTTCATCAGTCCATTTAGGATTTATGACAACTATTTATGATTTTAAAATAACTTTTATGGCAAAAGAATTTTAGTCTAAAATTTAAGAACATATGAAGGTTGTTTACCAGTTAATAGGATAGTGTAGATTAGCATTATTATTATTCCTGTAGTTAATTATAATTGCAAACAAGACTACCAAATGTTTTATTGCTGAAATTGTTGAAATTTAATCACTTGAGATGACAATATTAAACAATATTCCACATCGAAGTCAAACATCATATTATAAATGTTCGGATTTTCTTGCAGTAAAAGTTGAAGATGACCAATCTTTCTAATAGATAAAAGATAATGAACTAACCTTTTTTGATCTCTTAATCGTTTATTTATCTTTTAATCTTTAAACAATTGTGTGATATCACTTCTCCATCAATCTGATAAGATTAGGAAATTTTTGCATTCTTCTAATTGATCCTTTTCAATTTCAGATTGCCATTTTATTTTTATAATTTAGTTCACATTTATCATGTGAACATTATACTTTATATCTCATATTGCTTATTATATATTATAAAATTCGTTTGTCACTCAAATCCAATTTACCTTCAAACAACTTACTTTTTCCTTTCATAATTGTACTTTCTAAGCAATCCTGTTTTGCAGAGTCGATTGGAACACATAATCTGACAACAAGTTTGAACTCTTCACAAACAGCTATGAAAATTCTTTTTTGGTATATCTTTCCTTCTACATACATACACATCACCTTTCTTCTACACCTTTTAGTTGTCATATTTTTAAATGATTTCAAATAATGATTTACAAAAACTCCTTCATTTATTAATTTCTATCCGATTAGATAATAAAAATTATTCATTGTGGGGCATCGAGCATATATGGCAGTTTCCTTTATTTATATTTTCAGCATATGTAAGTAAGAGAGGTATTCGAGTACAAATAATAATTAAAGTTGAGGAGAGCTTTTTCAGTAGTTTAAATCCAAATGTAGAATTACACCGTTTTACTTGTTTAATTATTCGATATTCGGAGAAAAATAGGATAAACACTGTCCGTATCATTAAAAATACCACTGCAAATAATTTAATGTTTTCAGCCACAACTGGAAATAATAATAGATTTAATTACATCACCGAAAACTGCCTTCAAAATTGTATTTTTGCAGAGTGCAAAAACTCGCTGTTTTAAATAAATCTCTCTCACACTACATATCCATCCTTTCATTAAATTCTGTTCTTTGAGGTCGTCAAGAATACGATCAATAAACAATTTCGTAACTATTTGGATGAATGCTTTTCAATTCCGTTTTCAAATTCTTTTAGAAGTATAGAGCATAATATCAATCAATAATGCTACCCGATTCATTGCAGAAATAAAATCAACTAAGTTCTTTTCACGTTCATACCAAATATCCTCTCAAATTTCTAATTATTTTTCATACAGTTTGTTATTATTCACGATAACCGTGCTGGAGGCAGGCGATGTGAAAAGGTACAGCAAACGTTTCGCTGGATTAAGCGGTGTTGGAATTGGTGGGACTGCCGGATGTGTAGTCGTAGTATGATTTTTTTTAAATATATTAACATTGATTTTTCTAGTAAGCAAACGTTAAAAAAGCACCGCAGGTGCTAAAACTGCAGGAATTGAGAAGAAAAAATTGAAATATCTGGAATTATTTGATATAGTTACCAAATGATTGAGAGTTATTTCAATTCATCTAAAAAATCGTAATTTAGGATAACAAACTTTTTGCTAACGGTTACTTCCTTCGAGAACTGAACGTTGAAGAACAAAGATCGTTTGAAGAGTACGTCAAAGACTTGGACAAATACAAGGAGGTGAGAAATGTCCCCGAAAGAATTTTGATTTCTGAATGTTAATAACGCAAAATGATATTTTCAGCATTATTCTATAATTTAGCTAATCCATAAAGAATATATACATAATTTTACATAAATTGTCACATATGATCTGATCGCTTTCTGCCTGTATCATTTCAATATTTATCTTTTATAATGATATTTCTATGCGTTGTTATTTAAACTATTTTATCTTAATATGCCTTTAAAAGCAATATGATCAAAATTTATAAAAATTGAGAATCTTAGAATGTAAATTTCACAAGTAAATGAAGCCCACTTCTGCAGGAAGTGAAGGCATCGTTGGAAGAAAGACGCAAAGAGTTGCAATCAGCGCGTCAGAATGGGAAAGATGGCAAGACTTCGTCTCCTAAAGAAAAGAAGCTCCCCGAACCACCCAAAAAACCATCATTCTGCACCACTGCTGATACCACTCAATACTACTTCGATGGTTGCATGGTTCAGGTACTTCTACAATTATTGATTTTAAGATTGTTGCTGATGAAAGCGGAGTTATTGGTTAGATCCATGCAAAAATGAGAGCTTATGGAGTGAAAAGAATTGGAAGCTGCAATCATTGAAAAGTAGCAAACATAATACAGTGCTGACTTATTGCAGAATAATAAAATATATGTGGGACAAACATATGTAAGAGATTTGACATCAGAAGAAGTGAAAGATCTGAAAACGTTCGATAGCAAAATGACAACTTATCAGAAACATCTCTCTTCCTCCATTCAACAGGTAATAAACGATTGCATTTCAAGTTTAAATTAGAGAGACCTCTATATCTAATTTCGCATGATGTTCCTTTATATA